TTACTCGTTCAACCGTTCAAAAATTTGCCACAGCCGTTCGGCCGTTCACCGTCAGCCGTTCAAAATTTTTCTACAACCGTTCAGTCGTTCACTGTCAGCCGTTCAGCCGTTCACTGTCAGCCGTTCAAAACTTTTCCTCAGCCGTTTACCGTGAGCCGTGAGCCGTTCAAAAATTTTCCACAGCCGTTCAGCCGTTCACTTTGAACCGTTCAAAAATTTTCCACAGCCGTTCAGCCGTTCACTTTGGACCGTTCAAAAATTTTTTTCAGCCGTTCAGCCGTTCACTTTGAGCCGTTCAAAATTTTTCTTCGGCCGTTCAGCCGTTCATGTTAGCCGTTTCAATCGCCTTGGCCATCCGTTTGTCATCCGTTCACTAGCCGTGCGTTTTGCCGTTCGAACGGATAGCCGTTAGTGTACGTTTTCGCGTGAGAGGTTACCATTGTTGAATAATCCCTTTCACTTTGTCTTGGGGCTTACTCACCAAAAGAAATACAAAATGAAAAAGTGTAACCTGTATACAACGAGAACAACAACAAAACCAGGAGAAGATAATTCTGATGAGACAATAAAATCTGTTTTGACACTGTAAAAAAAACTAAAATCGCAAAAAATTGACTAAAACTTGACTCGTGAGTCGAAGTTGACTCTGGCTAGAATTGTATGAACTGCATCAGCTTAAAGTGAATATATGGACTTTGCAATATCACCTGTGAGTTTTGCATGCAACTTTTTACTACTTGGGCAAATTCCTAACGACGGAAGAAAAGTACTATTGTCAAAAAGACAAGTACAACCACAAGAGCTTGAATCCCCAGGCAATGGTTGGTGAAAAGATGCACCTAACGTATCGCAGCTCCTACATTGATTGCCATTTTTCATGCTCACAACAAAGAGGTCGGATGCCGAGGACCTCCTCTCCACTACGTAACTCCTGGCGTTTGACTCATCGATAGAAGAATCTGTGAGACAAAGTCTACTGAAACCCAGTAGGATTAGGAAATGAAAACACTTTGGTTTCATCAGGCTGTGTTGCATGTACTGAAGTCGATCGACGAAAGCAAGCTGTGAAAGGATAAGCGATCAATCTGCTATCAACAGCATCCCACTTCGAACAAAATCACTGCATACTTGTTCCTTACGAGATCCTGGTTACATCGACGTGTACTGACAGTTATGTTCAATTCCTCCAAAGAAAATGAAAGATGATTTCCAAATAACTTCCGCTATCAACCCTCTCCTCTTCCTAGAAAATGACGTTCACTCACTTGTGTTGACGTCTGGGAGTAATGTCGGTGTCAGGTTTATTTGTTTGTTCTTTTGTTACTAGTCCCCTTCGTAGCCTCTGCTTGGTCTCCCCCATCGTGACGAAACAACATGATCTCTAGACCGAAGTTATGATAATCGTTACTTCTTGATTGGCACAAAGTGATGAATATCATAATTTCTCGCCATATGAAGAGATTTATGTTCCAGGAACAGTTGAGTCAGTGGCGTGACTAATTTATTCAATAATGGCTAAAATGCCTGTATGATAAAAAATAGTGAAAGTCAATAAGTTACACCTTAACTCCTTGCTTGTGACCTTTGTTTAACCATGTGTCTCGAAGCGGTACAG